TTTGTTCCTTGGGCTGCAACGTGGCCTCCTGAGGGCATCTCAGTCAGTTCCTCCAGCCTTTCCTTGCAGCTCGTGTGTTTTAGACTTGTGGTTCGTCCTGCGTCCTCCATACGGACCCTACATGGTCGCTCCATATCTCGTGATGCTCGGCGCCTGAAACCCCCTTCTCAGTGCTAAATCCAGTGTTGCATGTTTTACCAGCTACGCTTGTGTTTGCTTTGGCAAGGCCCCGATACGATGCCTGCCGCCCTCAGATCCCAACATCTCCCTTCCCTTCCTGCTCGATTCGTGTTCTGCTGTGCAGGTGCTGCTCCTGCTCGCCGCGAGGCTGCCAGGGTCCTCGCTGCACCGCGTTTTGGTTGTCAGACGGTTTCTCTGCCTTGTGGTGATCGCTCTGAATTCTGCCATTGACTTTCAATGCACTTGTAGCTCTCCCACCTTGCCGTCATCTGTAAAATACCTCAATGGATTCTCTACTCTTACCAAGGTTGTTATTAAATCTAATTGTAGTGAACCTTGGAAAATCCTACATTACATATCTTTCCAGTAGGATAGACAATAATCAAAACTCCTACTGCTATGCAAGGAAAGGGAGTGTTTTCCTTTCTTTTTTTTTAGTGCAGCGTTTGAGCAGTAGGTCCAGGTATATTTTATTTATACTTTTACCAATCATTTTGTCTGATGTCCAGTGGTATCCGGGAGGATGGATTAATGAGTTTCTACAGGGATGTGTTTTAGACTGAATGGGGTTATAAATTGTTTACCTAATCTGTTTGAATCTCTCAGGATGAAATTAAATCTTCCATGTTTTATGCAGAGTTAGCTAGCTCCCTCCTCAAGCCTTTACTCTTGCATAAGGAAAAAGTGGGTAACCTCATGGTCTTTTAATCTGAATCCCGGAATATTTTGCACATAGATACTAAAGATGAGGTACACGCCATTTAATTCGGGCTGTTTTATGCATTCACCTGAAATGCACATGGGAACCCCCAGGTTGGGAAGCCTCCACTTGCTGTGGACACCCCTATAGGATCAAGGACCTCCGAAGGGCAGCATGGGGACATTAACTGTGTTTTGAATGCTACCTATAGCGACCTTATTTAAATACAGAGTTTCACCGCCTCGGCTGTTACATTTTTAATATAAATTCCTAGTGCAAAAATACAACCTTAATATTTTAGTGAGGTGCTGACTTTGTACAGTTTAAAATTATTAAAAAAAAATAACTAGGAATCTTCTGTATTTAATAATTGTTGTAATTTTCTTCATGATCAAGAAAAAAGTTACAGCTTTCATTTTTTGCAGTCAGCTCTGAAGTTTTACAGTTTCATTGAGGCAGGCAGCCCTCGGGATTTATTTGTGAGTCTGGCCACAAATAAATAATGTTTTTTTCCACCCAGCATTATCCAGGCTGAGGACTTCTGGCTAGAGACGTGTTAAAATCAGTGTTAAAATGTGAAGTAACTGTGGGAATATTTGTATGAATGCAACTAACAAATAATCCCACCAAAAGTTTGGTTAGAAAGAGAGCCAAAAATAGTGGGAAATTAAAACAATCATCTAAAGTTCTGTGCAGTTTTTAATGTTTATTTGAATTCTTTGTGTTTCTCTGTATGTTTGAGAGCAGAGCTCTGTGTGCAGGGGAGATTTTGGTGCAGGGCGGCACCTAAGCCTGGATCCATCCTAGCAGGTGTTGGGTGCTGGAGATGAGTCCTCGCATGTGGAGCACCATGATCGGGCCCTTCATTTAGTCCCTGGGAGACATCGTTATATTTGATTTGATTAAGTACAACTGTCATTTTCCATCAGTGATTCATTCATCTTTTCACAAGAAAGCTCCAAGAAGTGCCTCCCTACCAAATCATTTAAATGGACGTATTAAAGGAACTTTCCATTTGCCCGAGCCCTTGCTAGTGTGGCTGGTTTGTCCGTCTTGTTCACGGTGCGGAGCAGAGGGATCGCCTGCGATCCTGGATCCAGACTCCTGCAGTAGATTCCGTTTGTAAGAAGAACAAAATTGAGGAACAACGGATCAGTGAAGCTCACACACGAGCAGGAGGTGCATAAGGCAGCAATGAGATAATTCCGGTCATTATAATAATGATAACAAAAGACTAATTTTTACCATCCAGAAGCTCTGCTGTATTCATATGCTTTTCTGTCTTCCGGAGAGATTTTTTTTTTAATTCACTGTCTCTCTGCATAGAATTAAACTTTTCATTAACATGCCCATTCACGGCATATGAATTATGAGCCCCAGCTAGCTCTCCTCCTGCTTGCTCCATGTTACCCTCAAATCTAGCAAGAAAAAAACTCCTAGTGATCTGGGATCTGCCATTTCTAAGTGACAATTTTAATTTAGACTTTTTTTTATATAAAGAATGACACACTGGATTTCTGCTTTGCACATAGGGATTCCTGAGCAAAGGGGCTCTCTAACTGTGGTTTCTCTGTGGCTTTAACAACAATGATAATGTAAGCTGGACTTCAATATTAAATTGTATGGACGTGTGTTTCAATCTTTATATGCTCAGTTTTGGCTGGCAGCAGTGGGGTTGCCTGAGCCAAACCAGCCCATGCGGCCCCGGGACACAAGTTGGAGGAGACCTGGAGGTCTTTGGGGCTCACCCATGGATGCAAGTTGTATCTGCGTGTTGTGTAGATCAAAAGCTCTCCAGATATCAAAAGCTTCAGCCTTTGGCTCCAGAGTGGTGGCAAGTTGTGGTGTTAAAAATGGGAAGTTGCATATTCCCACCAGAGCCAGCTTTACTAAACCCAAGCTCTTAGAGCATCCCCTATAGCATGTCCCAACTCCAGAGCTGCATCAGGCTGCAGACTTTACACACAGTAAGTATTCCCCTTGCTCAATCGCATTTTATTTTCTCATACTTCTCCCCTCCTTGAATATTTCTGTAATTTAGGAATAAAAGGGCTCCCTCTCTTCCTGTCAGCATTCTTCCACACCCACTTTTGGTGGGTGATCCCTGGAATTCAGCCTGTTGTGGGAGACGCCGCTCCCCATGGGGACACGTGGCTCTTGGATGAGCTCTGTGGCTGGTCCCTTGCAGCTCCGGACGTGTCCCGGGAGGATCTGCCACACTCCTGTTTGGGGAGGAAAATAAGCCCCCTGCTAAGTGATCCTTCCAGTAAGAGACCAGTTACAGCCTCGACTGGTTTTGGTTTTGTTTGTGTCCTTCCAAAGGCAATATGTATTAGCATGGAGAGGGTTTATTATATCTTTTTTTAAATAAAGCCATGGTCATGCGAATGCTGCAGCTCGTGCTCGGAGCAGGGAGTGCTGGGTGGCCGCGTGCAGCCCCCGGGGCTGGTTGTGGTACGTGAGAGGCCCGGGTTAAATTGAAAAGAAAATCATCTGGAAAAGAAATGTTTGGGAAATCCTTTAACGTACCAAAGTGGCAACTCAGGGTGTGCAGGTCCCCAACCCGGCGTGGTGGCTTGAGGAAAGGGGGAATTGATTTAAGAAAAGGGAGAAATGTCCGTACTTTATTGATACTTTATTTTGCCCTAACCACGCGGCGCGTCTGTACTTTGGTATTTCTGGTAGATGCCTGATTTCCCTCGGTCCCTTGGATTGCTCGTAACTAACTGTTGTTCTGCATCGTCCCCTGGACTGTGGGAGCTGGAGAAGGAAGGAGGCAAGGGAAGGGAACCCCCTGGATGGTGCTGAAATCCTTTCTGGCCACCCCTGCTCATTGTCTTCCTTGCAAGAGTGGTTGTGGTTACAGCACAAGTCGGCTTCGAGTTGGGATTTTCTCATACAGCAGTGCCTTAAATTGAAAGCCCAACGCAGTGCTCATCAGGCTTCTCCACTTCCAGCCATTTTAGTTAGGCTATATGTTGATTACAAAATTAACACTTTTGAATCTTTTCAGTATCTCTTGCCAACAAATGATTTGAGGCACTTGACATTTTAAGGCAGTTTGTCTTTTCAAATAGATTTGGCTTCTAATGCATGTGACAACAGGACTCAGCGCTTCCGTTAGAGCATACATTTCAGAGCAGTTGTTACCTAAAATATTATCATAAGGCATAAGAAAACACACGATTTAAGTTGCCTTTCATGAACATAATTAAGAATTAATAAGCCTGTACCAGTGGCTAGTCCTCAGAATTTCCACTGTTTTGCCTTTTGTGACCCGTGTTATTAAAAGTCCATTATTTTTACAGACTTTATTAAATTGGATCTTATTAAAGCATTCTATATTTGCATTTGGTCTTTCATAATTCATTATTATTATGACATTTACTTTTTACCATCAGATCTGAAAACATATCATAAGCTACCCTTTTCTCTTGAAAGAAATGCTAATTTCAAACAGTCCTCTAATGGAAGAGAAAAGCTTTATCAGTTTTTTCATTTATTCAAGATCGTGTTAAGAATACTAATGCTAGACTTCTGTATGCTAATATCTGAGAGCTTTTTTTGGTCAAAAGCTTAGAATTATTGTTTTTAGACCACACTGCTACGTTTGTCACTCGCAGGGCACCAGTACAAAAGAAAATACAGTTCTGAAGTATCTCGCTTGAATTCTTTGATGATAAGAACATTTTCTTGCTCGTTCATTGTTAAATGAAGCTGTTTGTATGAAGTGATACTAATTCTACGCTTCATGCTTGTTACATCTTCACTTAGTTCCTCTTTCAAAGTTTTTAACAGTCGATACAGCATGATTGTTGGGAGGAGTTTACCTTTGTGTTATGGTTTGCAGAATAATGAAAGAGAAAATGAAGTTCTCCATCAATTAAATGACCGTCACTGCCAGACATTAATTATTTTTATTGTATTTGTAAATATTCTTATAACTTAATGATAAAAAGAAATAATTAGCTCTCAAATTGTTTACAGAAGCCTGGATGTTAAACAGTAGATAGCACATAATTAAATTGCTGAATCTAACATTAATATTTTGGAATGCTAATAAAATAAAAAAGCCTCTCCACAACTCTACAATGTAAACTAATTTTTTTTCCCTGCCTAGGTTTCTGACCATGTGCACTAGACACTTCGGGAGCGTTGTTGCCCAAACGATTCGAACTCAGAAGACAGATCAGTTTCCTCTTTTTCTCATTATTATGGGAAAACGATCATCTAACGAAGTGTTGAATGTAATACAAGGTACGGTTCTTCCACTATAGTACAAATGTTTCATTTGTGGGCATGGAAACTGTTAGAAGATATCTTTACTAGCAGTTTTGTTCTTAGATTTCAGAATATAAGTTTATAGCATATTTAAAAAAAGAAAACAAAACTTTTAGTTGCCATGATAGAAATAACTATTATCTCTAAGTGTATTGTTTAACATGATATTAGAGATTCAAGTTGCCATGACTGTAGCAGAATTGTTTTTTTGTTTGGTTTTTGTTTTGCTTCTTTTTTCTTAAGTGGAAGAGAAGTTTTAGAAGGAAATAAGAAAAAGAAATTCCAGTTAGATTCCAAATTTATTATTAGCTAAAACCCTGACTTTCGCAAGAACTTGGGGTGCACTTTTTGTGCAGTGCAAGGATGCTTTGTGTCTGCAGTGTGCAGCTTCTCGCTAACACGTGAGCTCCTCTTGTGCATAGCGGCCTAGAGCTCAAACATGACTTTGCTTTTGCAGATCTCCTTGCAGTGTTTAGGCCCCAGATTGGATCAGAATTTTAATTTGCTAATATAACGTCCTGTAAATGGGACTTCTTGCCTTACATGAGCTGTTCTTTGTGATACCAGAGCATTGCTCAGGTGTGGAGTGATGCCCTTAGACTGTCGTTCTCTGCGATTCCTCAAATTAAAAAGCATCAAGGAACAGGGACCCCTCATTTCTTTTGTTTTCCTCACAACTCTCTTCTCCCATATTTGTATTTATCCATTTTTATTCTAACCTACTTATTTTCCTAAGGAAACTCGGGTTCAAATTCTTATCACAGTGAAGTCATTGCACAGTGTTAGTGTTTCCTTTCTCCATGAGGGATTAGTAATTGGCTTAAGGAATCTGCAGTGCTCCTTTCTATGGCCAACATTATTTTTGCCGTATGTTCCCATAGGAATCCCAGTTTTTCAACCAGTGGTACATATTCTACTCCTTAATGCAAAGTACTAATTCATAATACTTCTCCACTTCTAAAACTTACTCTGTTGAAATAACCCAATAACTAGAATTATAACTTTTGGTTGTAATTCTGTGGCATAGTTTATCATTTGTTTTAACTTTAGACACCTGTCTTATCCCACTGACATCTGTGGTGCTCTCAGGCCTAAATTACACAACCACTGTAGCAAACTGGTGATTTGGAGTCATGATATAAAGCTGTATTATATTTTCAAATAATCCAAATAATTTCATAGCACTCATTAAGTTTTAATTATGTGTCATTTTTTTCTGCAATTAACCTTTTGAACCAAATGAAAGTGATAATTTATTGCTGTCTTACCTAAATTTATCTTAGCGTTCAAATTCTAACAAAAATCAGAATGTGCTGGCTTGCTGTTTTCCCATGAATTGGGCCATTGGCATCTTTTTAGATAGTGCCCTCAAACAGATCATTTTCTCTGAAGTTTTGCGTGTTGCAGCACGTGGGAGAAAATTTTCTGCTCAGGAAGGCAGCGAGTGCCAGACGTGGGAACCATGAGGGCCTTTCAAGGCCGGGTGCAAAGGCAGTATTTACAAAAGAGATACAGGAGTGCAGAAACTGAACTCCCAGGGAAAGTTATTGAAATGTGGCATTTGCTTTTGGTTTGGTTTCGATGATTTTATTTATTTATTTATTTTTAACTCTGGCTCCTGATCAGGTTTTTGACCACCATCACCAATAAAAATGCAGGTCTTGGTATTGTTGGACTAGTATCCAAAAATTGTTTAGGTTGACAGGTGTTTATAATCTTGTATTGTTTATAGAGTTTATATACAATCTCTGTATGTTGAAAGAGTTTATAGTCTTGGTTTGTTTCTCATGGGGAAATGGCCTTTAAACTGCCAAGACAAATGGGTGTAATGAGTAGTCTGCTCTTCCACCAGAGAAGAAAAGCCAAAGATGGAGTTGGTTCCTTGGTGGGAAATTGCACAGATTCTTTAGCACTATCAAAAAATGGGAGAGACTCCTCAGAATATGAAGTATTTTTGGTCTACCAGAATACAAATGTGTGCACATGTGTTTTTTGTCATCCTAAACAATCCTCTTGGATGCTACTGGCAGTGTCCTTCCTGCTATTACTTGAGTCTGCCTCACTACACCTAGAAGCTCTAGAAGTATAAAATCAGTTTCATGTCAGGGACTTGCAGATACACTTTTCTCTAGCATTAAAAATAATCATAATAAAAAGGAATTATTCAATGCAAGTACAAAAGCAGCTGTTCATATTTGGGCCACCTAAAATTTTAGCCTATGATCAACATTTGCCCACAAAAACAATATTGAATTTTCAATAAAACAGCACATTAAAAGCATTCTACTGAGCTATTAGCATTTTCTGCTCTGTCATTTAAAAAAAAAAAAAAAACTCTGGTTATGTCTTATGGATTAATTCTAAGATTACTCCATTTTTAAATAACTTTAATGATATTAAGTTCAGCTCTCCTCCCCTGTTGCTAGGTAACACGACGGTGGATGAGCTGATGATGAGGCTGATGGCAGCGATGGAGATCTTCAGTGCCCAACAGCAGGAAGACATAAAGGATGAGGTGAGAGCTGGAAGTTTCTGCAGGGGCCTGTGGGCTTCTGCAGGCGGCTGGGGCAACCGGATTGATGAGCTGTGTCTCTAGGCAAAGAAGTGAGGAATTCTGTCCTAAATGTGCCTTTTCCACCATCAAATTCAACAACATAAGTGGTCTTCATGCATGTAGTTGGGTGCCTCAAAACACTCCTCCTTATCGGCTTGCCGGCATTTTCAGAGTCCTTTGGTTATGGCTTTTTTTTTCTTTTCCTGACTATTAGTCAGCTTAAATTTACAGTGGTATCACAGAGCTTAATAGACTCATACCAGGAAATAACAGTCACATGTTTTCACAACGATCACTTCTAAATCATAGATAGAAAACAAAATGGCTTGATGTATCTTAATGTATATATTTGAAAGGAGATTGAAAAGCAACCTTAAAAAGCAAACCTCACCAGGACTGAATCACCATGCAGAACAATGCAAAATGGGTAAGTGATGACATGACTTTTCAAAGACAGTGTTTCAATTCCACAGAAGCAGACACAGTGAGGCACACAGTTGAGAGATGTTTATCTGTTACTTTATAAATTGAGAGTGACATTTTGAAGTAATGAAGTACTTAGTTAGGAATTTATAATAATAGGTGTGTTGCCATTCAAGATTATTGTTATCCTGTTGTAGAGACATTGATTGACAATAATTCACTAAACACATTCTTCACATTTAAATCTTGTGTCTCATTAGTAGGAGATTTACCGATTACGGTTATAATAATACAAAGGCATGGTATCTGCACAATATTTGTAGTTCTTTTTTTCTTTCTTCATTTATGCTACCTGTAATTCGTTGGTAAAGAAATTGACTTTAATTTTGTTAATGCTGAACACAAGTTTTAATATGAGGATTATAAGAGAAATCCGAGGCACAATATAATTGAATTTTATATTGCATTTTAACAGCGATATGTTGGGTGTGAATCTTTTTAATGTTTTAATAAGAAGTTAAAATTCAGATCACAGTCAAGAGTTTTAGGAAAGGCTCAGGACTGGAAACTATAATAGCTGATAGAAAGGAAGAATATAGAAGGAAAGAAAAGCATTTGGAGATAGGGAGATAGGAACAAGGAAGAAATGGAGCTAGGGCAAGTGTGGAGAGGTGCAGAAATAGGAGCAGGATAGAGAGGAACAGGAGACCAGAGTGGCAAAAGTTGGGAACAGGGGAAGAACCAGGGGAGACAGGGATAGAGCTGTGGAGGGTGGAACCAGGGCGTATGGCAGCACAGGAAGTGGGAGTGAGGGAGGGAAAGCTTTGGGAATGAGGAGACTTGGTCCTCCGGGAACGAAGAACTGGGCGCTGGGCCGGGGCTGCCGGGGTCCTTCCGTGGAGGGCAAGAAGAGCCAAACGGACTGTGGAAAAGGCAGAATATGGGTGGCTTTTCCATGGAAAGTGACACATGTCCCCAGTATGGTGACAGGGACTTATCCTGATTTCTCACTTAAGTGTTCCTCCAATGAGCAGAGAGAGAGGGAGATTGGGAAGTTCATTTTTTATACAGTCCTCTAAGATTGGCTGTTCTCCAAGTCTTTTCTAGTCTTTTCCCACATTTTCTTGTGTTTTCTTGTCTCTGAGAGCACCAAGGACATTTCTTCCCCAGCAGGACTTTGTTTTTCTAATATATGTTGGCATTCAGAAAACTAATGGAAATATTTCATAAACTTGAGGACAGATATATAGATGCTCAAGGGTTGATACACAAGTAGATTATTTACTTATATCTTGGCCTGTCTTATTACAAGCTCATAAGTCACAGATCTTTTTGTATTTAAAGGTGTAAGTTTTTTAAAAAGAGAAAGAAATAGAAAAAAAAAAAGGAAAGATTCTTGCTTTCTGAAATTAGCAGTAGAGAAAGCGAATATTCAGCAAGCAGTCTATACTCAGTAGAAAGCTTCCACCCAAAAGAGGAATTGTCGTCTTTGTGGTTTGCTACATAATATGTAACTTTCACATAAATCTTGTACTTGACGTTGTATAGGGTTCAAACATCAACACCTTTTTATTATTATTATTATTCTCTTTTTAAGCTCTTATTGCAGTTGGTGCATTTTTTTTTCTTCCAAATATTACAATAGCAAACAGGATACAGAGTCCGGTTTCTGTTACTGTTTTCTGAACAGCAACAATAAGTCAGCACAAAACCACAAGAAGATAAGCAGAAATTTCTTTTGTGCTTTAAAAAAGAACAAAAAAGTGAGCTTTGTAGCTTTGTTGTAAATAGAAGCGCGTGAAGCAAAGAGAGAGAGGAGCTGGAAACACTTGTAAATAAGAGCATGAAGTCAGGAATGAGTCAGTTTACGCAGCTGAACTTCTCCCCTTTTGGGTTTTTTAACTTGCACACGAAAGCGTCCAGTGCTGCCCCTGTGCTCCTGTGTAGCACAGTGTGTTTTGCAGTGCCCTCTGATGGTTGTTTCAGTGCAGGGTGGCCGGGTGAGGGTCCCGGTGTTGGCACCGGCGCTGCCTGTAGCTGTTGAGGCCCTTGCGTTACAGTCGGTTCCCTGTCCCTGGTTAGGCAGGGTGCTCAGAGCAGCATCACAGGCCGTGCCCCACCAGAGGGAAGTGAGTAACTGCATGAGCTCACTGTGGTAGTTTGGCTTGCTAAAACCGGTGCTTTTGTATCCCTATTTCAGTAAAATCTCGCCTCATTAGACTTTAACAAGGTGAATTTGGGGCATTTTATTTTTTTAATGTCAAGTGCTAAACTACCACCGTTTAATTAATGATTGGATATAACCCCTCGTTGTGCTTACTGGATTGGCTTAAACTCTTTCTCATGATCTCCAAAAAACACCGTAGAAAATGTGAAAACTTGTAGATGTCCTCATAGCACTCAGGCACTCAAGGAAGGTACCAGTTTCAAGGTAACTTGAACATCCACTGCCAGCACCGATCGAGGTGTGAACTGAGCTTTTGCAGGGCCTGGCTTTGAAAACAGCGCCGAGCAGCTTCTCTCCTTAACTGTCATGGCACAGAACTGGAGGTAGAAAAGCAGCGATGGCTTTAAAACACCGCACACCTTAAAATGTGCAATTTTAAACACTTCTGTTAGTTTGCTTGCTTTAGCCTGGTAGTTAAATAATCATTTCATCATTTCATGATGGGCGAGAAGAGATCTGAGTTAGCCCCATTGTGAAATTAATGCAAAGAGATCCCTGATTAAATACTGGCATGGCAGTGCAACACACCTGTTCTGGGCCGGTCCTAAACATTTTTCCTCTGTTGCCTGAGGAGGAGGCTTCTCAAAGGATTACAGTAACACTTTTTGACAAGCTTATACAGGGTGGAGTTTCCATGTAATGACAGGGCTCATTCGATGATGTCTCAGTAATGCATTCTTTTTATTTTTGCTGTCAACATTTATTACTGTAAAAGCCTTGGCTGTTACACAGCTGGTCCAACTTGTCCACATTTAAGTAACAGTAGGTCTATCATAGTGTTTATTTTTGCAGTTACGCAACTCTAGCCCTCCTGCTCTTGGATTAGGCTTCAAGGTATAGTTGTACTACCTGAAGTTGCTTGAAAAAAAAAATATTTTTACAAATTCAAATTAAAATCTTCACTTTGCTTGAAACTATTTCCAGCTGACACACATTGTTTTCTTCATTGTAAAAGAAGGATTTAAGGATTTAAAACTGGAAAATAATGCTGTAACATATTTTGACTGAAACTGAACTATACGAAACTGAACTAAGGCAAAGTCGCTGTCGCCTGTAAGGGATGCAGGGAGCCCAAAGGTGTCTGGTGGCCATTCAGCCACCTCTGCCCTTCCCGTTGGGCACCTCGCGCTAAGGGCAGCAGGCACAGAGCATTCCAAAGCCTGGGAAAACCTGCCTTCCCTCCGACGCCGTCCTGGGCATCCTGCTCTACAATATTTGCACATCAGGAGACCATGAGAATAAATGCATGAAATTCATTACATTCTAAAGCACAAAAGCATGATGGCGATGACAGGCATCTAGCTACGATTGTGATTTAACCCCTCAAAAATCCAATTAGCACGTTGACTAATTATTACTAGTTATAACTAATTAAACCACAGTAATCAAAATTTATTTGCTTATATTTCCAGTAGCACGTTTGCAATATGCTAGCACTCCAAACCTGTAAGGTTTGCATTTGTCCTGGACGCTCCTGTGTCCCGACGCGCCAGCAGATACAGTCGCTGCCACCAAGAGTTTAGGGACACATCACAAAGGGACAGAGGGAGGACAGGAGATGAGATTAAAATATCTTTAGTTCAGATGGGCTTTATGCTGCACATCCCAGTGGCTCCAGACACGGGATATTACTTTAACCTTTTTAATTTGTAGCAGCTTTCTCTGCCATTCAGCCCAGCTTGGTGGACATCTTAGCAGAACTGGCTGGCTTCCCTATTGTGCAAAGTAACGGCAGGAGTGCTTCTTAAAGGTGTTTTTTTAGTTTTTCTTTCCTTGTCATGTGAGGTCCTTCCCCAGATTCAATATTTGGAGGTGGCTTTCAGCCTTTGCTATAAATAGGCAGGATCCTTTGACACCCTCTCTGCAGTGTCCTGCCCCTCTTTGCCCTCTGGGTCCTTCCTCCCCACCTGTGGGTCGGGCACTGCCGACGACATCTGTATTTGCTTTGTTTTCATCCTTCTCATGTGCCTAACACATTTTGTGTACACTTTTTATTTTCTTCTATATCTTCCCCACCACATATGCTTAAGTTATACAATGTGCAAGTCTGTCATCTTCAGTGAATCACATTAATGCCTTTATTGCACTGCTTTGTTTGGACAAAAGGGTGTTCCTCTTTAACGCTCCCATGAATAGCCTTAAGCACCTGCATTTTTTAATTCCAGGAGTGGTTCAGCAAAATGAACTGTCTGTCAGATAAGCAGTCAGCATTTGAAAATACACTTTTTTTTTTTTTTTTTTTTTGGGTAACAGCCATTAATTCACTCCGAGAATGTGTCCTCTGGTCTTGGTTATCTTCCCAAGTTTTGTATTGCCTGTTTTGACTTCATAGTAATAACTGACTTCAAAGGGCAACAGGGAATAAGGTGTAACACATCTCCTTGAGACAGATCAGGTGCAAAACTGACACCTGAAGTTAAATCATTAACTCCTACATTCACAAATAACCAAAAAAAAAAAAAGTGTGTAATTGTTGGGAAATTCTTAGGTAAACAGTATGCTATGTAGAAATGATGTTTCCCTCCTTTGAATGTATCAACTTTCTATTACATGAACATCCATCCGTATCATTGCATTGTCAACATGGGAAAGCAGGGATCCCCAGCTCACTTTCAGTAAGCTTTTTTGGGTGCTTATCACATATATCATCTACTCTTCTTACTAGACATCCTGCACGGCTTTTTTCAATATCTTTGTGTGTGGAAATCCTTCCAAATCTCTGCTATTTTTGGCATGAGCCAACTGAAGGGTCTCTATTCCTGTTGAGACAGAGGACACAATGTTGAGTGTCGCAGTGTAACCCTCGTGTTCTCAGACATTCTGGGCATTTAACAACATTAGGTTATGGTCTGTTTTACCTCCCCATGCAGTAGTTATGTGTCTGCAGTTTGCTTTTATTCTTCCTCACTTCACCACAGTGGCTGCTATTCCTTCTGGCACTTGGAGCACCCATGGAGGCTGAGCGGGTGCTCAGTCTCCAGCTATGCCTTCCAGACCCCTCTTCCCTATGGCAAATTGACTCCTTCCCATATAAGCATCTGTATCTCTTTCCCCTGTGGGCTGAGTGCTGACAGCACAGAAGAAAGATCATGTAAGCTGACAGGATCCGTTCTCCTTTTAATGGCTTAAATTCTTTCTGCTCTACCATTTGCTTTAATCTCTTTCCATTCTTCCCCTCCATGGTACCAATTATCTGTATGTCAGCTGCGTTTCTCCTTCTTCCCCAAGATTGCTCCTCTACCATTTCACCCTTCCTCGCTTCCTTCCTTCCTTCCAGATGCAGATGAGACTTAGAGCTTTGTTAAAGTCAGTGCATATGCACTCATCCAAAGGCAGAATGTGGAGTTTAAAAAGATGATGCCTACATGAGCAAAGAACATTTTTTAAAGTTTGTTTCTTTTTTGTATATATATGTGTATATATATGTTAAATCCATTCCTAATTTTCTGGATATTCTTCAGTGCATACCAAAAAAGCTTGCCTAATTTGTACAAAAGCAAGAAGAAAAACTCTGATTCAAATGAATGATATTTTTATCAATACAGAATTTGGAGTTTCATTATAATGTTTAATGCATTTTTCTATTATATAAGCTTTTTATATACTTTCCAGCAATAAACAAGCAGTTTACTGCTGCCGTTATTTTAACAAATACTAGAGGTGAGGTATACTGCAGAGGGCAAAGCCAGACTGTAGTGTGACAGAGCCCATCTGCTTCACAACACTGCTTTCATTTCAGAGCAGATGTGGCAAAGACACCTACTTGCTTCTCTTCTAATGCATTTTACATTTTGTCACTACTTTCAGCCTTAGCAATGGATCCACTTTCAGCTTTTCATAGGCAACCAAGAAATAACCAGGTAGAAATGAACAGAATTTGTAAAATATTGTATTTGTTTCCTGAAAATTTTTGGTAAAAATCTAGAATTAGTGCTTCAAGTACTTCCCTTTAGGAAGCAAAGGAGGGCTCTCCCTCCTTCCCGTGCCCAACAGACCTGGCGGGATGGTGGTTTGGATGGTGCCTGGTCATACCAGCCTTCGGTCAGTGGTGTCAAATTGGGAAAGTTTCACTGCTATTTGTGGCGCAAGCTGTTCAGTTGGCCTGGGATAAGACCCACTTTATTCCTACCTTGGGTTCTTGAGAAAGGAAGATGGCAATATTTGCCTGAATTGCTCGAGTATTGCAGAGATGTACTTACTGATACTCAGTAGATGCAGCAATGCATGTAGGGTTTAACCGAAAAATTATCAGATAACCTTACTTTTGCTGACAGATAAGAATTTTAACAAATTGTTGTTAAGTTAGTTATTAGTTGTATTGCTATTCCGTCTTCTTCCTGTGTTCTTTGTTAGCACAGTGATTCTTTGTGAGATATTTTCGGCTGCTTTTCCTGTCACTATTATCATTTTACTTTTGTTACTTTCTGGTGAACTTGAGTCATCCCCATTATTTGTATAGCTGGTTTCTGTAGGGCACATCATGACTAAAAGAGCAAACCACATTCCCAAAAGGAGGATTATTGCATATAATGTTGAAAATGTGTCTAACTAGCAACTCACAGAGAACATTGCAAATTTGCCACCATGCCCATGGGTCCCTATACAACATTAGCAATAATAAAATTAATCCACATGAACATGTAAAAAGAGACATTTTGTGTGATTAGATCTCCTTCATGCTTAAAGCAGTCTGGATTCCAGTGCTGTCTAGTCTACCTTCAAATTTGCTTTTAAGATCTGTTTCAGTGCAAATAGAGTTGTTCAAATACGATGTGCAGCTCTGGCATGGTCATTTACCTTGCATGTGGCTTACGTGTTTCTGTGAGGACCAGGCAGTCACGCGTAGTAACTCTTCACATTCCTGAGAGCTTTTTCATAATCCGGTTTTAGGAAGATGGTATTTGCAATGAATGGGGGATAAATAAATAAATAAAAGTTCCTGGAATGCACATTTAGATACTGTAAATAGAATCTACAATGCCAGGATTGCTTGAGGTTGTCATCCAGATGATATAAACGAATTTCAAAAATTATTCAATGAAGCTCCATATAGGCAAATAGATACTATGCTCATCACTAATAATGCTTAGTATCTTTCTTGAGTTTTCTAGATAGTTGGTAAAATACAAAATATCTCAGTACTCAATTTCTTACAGCTCTAATTTAGTACATATTAAGTACATATAAGGAGTGAGTTTTAACTGTTTTTATAAATTTTTATTTTTTGTTCAATTTTGGTCATTATTAGACTAAAGGAACTGCTTTAATTGCTAGCAATCTTCTGAGGAAAGGAAAGGGCCAGTAATAGCAGTAGTTGCATCTGATCTTTCAGTTTTCTCCCAGGCATTACTGGGCTTCTGTGTGACCTCTGAAATTGAGCTAGCAAGAGATATATGAAGTTGCAAAAGATGAAACAGATTCTCCCCTCTGTTTTTATGAGTATTTTTTAAATGCCTGTTCTCTCCCAGATTGCATGAAACCATTCAGTAAGTTGGTTTGGAATTTTTTTTTTTTTACTATTTGAAGGTAAGTTAATGGAAAGTCTTAGTATAGACAGTGCAAAATATTTTCCTCTACTGTTATGTTCCATCTCTGAGAAACATTGGGAAGGGGTCTATGTACTCAAGAGGCTCTTCTTATTTTTGGACAACATAAAAATTGGGGCTATTATTTCAAGATTTCCTTCTCTCAGAATTTTAGTATTCATTAGAATTTTAATATTAATTCATACTGAAACTACATTTCTGCTGTCAGATCTTAGTTTAAAGGCAGTTCCTGAACATAATGCATGGAGTTTAGCAAAGTCAAGAAGGAAATGGGTTGCATGGTGGTCACTGGCTTTCGCACATTTTGCAAGAAATTGTGCTTGTGTGTTAGCTCTGATGAGCAGAGAGATGGTTTCTCTGTCTTCTGTGAATGACACGGGCAACCTCCGGAAGGCCCGAGGTGTGTTATAAAATGTAAGAAGAGTCAGCACAGAGCAGCAGATGTGGTCTCTATAGCAGGGCCAGCAACTTCTGCATCCTGCACTGTAGGGATGATGCTTCTCTTCATCATTCACATTTTTAGTAAACCTCCTTTTTTTCTCTTTCATTTTTGGGTGCTGTGATAATTAATAAAATATTTTGCTGGATTTACTGGCTTGAAGTTGGCATCTCATGTTTCTTGTCTGCCTGCATCTTTGGACTTTAGACACTTCAGAGCGGGGCTTGTTACTCTTCCATCTTTACACAGCATTCTCAGCAACACAAATTCAGGCCTGTGGATGATGTTTAATAGTGATGACCTAGGATGGATTCTATTTTTTTTTTTTTAAAGCCAAGGTCACCCTTTAGGTGTTTGTTAGATGTGATCTGCAATGGTTAGATAAGTAAGGCAGTCAAATTCTTGGAAATCATTGAGGATAAAGAATACTGGTGAGTGTAAAGATAAATCTAGCATTGGTCCACTGCTTGCTGACTTTTTTCCTTTTTCTTTCTTTCTTTCTTTCTTTAGGATGAACGTGAAGCCAGAGAAAATGTGAAAAGAGAGCAAGATGAAGCATACCGCATATCACTTGAAGCTGATAGAGCCAAGGTGTGTGCATGGTGGGGTGATGAGGTGGTCTCGTGATGTTAGGACATGGATCTCTCCACAATCGATAAAATCACCCTTGTGCAGAGGATTTCTCAGTTTTAATTCTGCCTTTAAGATGAGCTGGATGCTGTAGGGAGCCATAATTCCACTAAGTGATTACAAAACCACACTATGTAAGTTTGCAAGAAAGGGGTCTGACTGCATCGTTTTGTGGAAGCAATCCTGGCCCTGCTTCATAGTAGAAGATGATAAAGAAGTCATTTTGAAAGATCACTTAATAAATATTATATTTCTTGCATTAATTTCTAAGTGATGGTTAATAATCACTGTCAGACAGGGTCTTAGGCTACACAAACCTTGAGTCTAATCCCATCTGGAAGTTCTTAATGATAGAAAAGTGGAGAATACATTAGACGTACTGATGCAGTAAAGTAATAAGGACGTAAGTAGAGTTCTTATGACAGCTTCCATTTAGAAGCTTTCCTAAGAAATATGAAGCTTTTATTCACATTTTATTACATAAATACGTCAGAAAGGGTTCTTATCCCAAGTTCTTTACCTTTATATAGTAATGTCTGTCATTAAACAGCTGCAGAAGGGGCGGGTGAACATGTGTGGTCACTGTTTGTTCCTCTTTTGTAGAGGGAAGCACAAGAGAGAGAAATAGCAGAACAGTTTCGTCTGGAACAGATTCGGAAAGAACAGGAGGAAGAACGTGAGGTGGGATATTTTAGCTTTTCGGACAACTTTTGGGATTTATTCATTCAGCACACATCGCAACTTTAATTCAGAGTTCACTTTGTTATGCAAACATTAAGTTGAAAAAACATTTTATTAATTTCTTAACATATATATAAAATAGAGTGCAGCTAAATGATCTTTATCTACAGCTTAGTAGCTTTTCTAGTGCATAATATGAGTCACATTGCTAAATTGTAGCTAGACATTAGATAGGTGTCCTAACAGAAGACCCAACAAATTAGCTCTGTAAATGGTAGAATTTTTTCAGACTCAGATATGTGACTTCAAGGTACACTTGACATTTCAGTCTTGTGTGCTTGGCCGATGGTTGAAAAAACTGTTACACAACTGCAAATTGGTTACCAACACATATTTTATTTCCTGGGATAAATATAATAAAGAATATAAGCAATGCATCTGCATATATATTTGACTAAGGCATTTACATTAAAGAGCGTAATGGTGTAAGCATCCTAGAACCTCTTAAGCAATGCTGCATGGTAAATGCTTAAATTGGTCAAAACTCTAGTTAGTATTCAAGAATGTTTAGAAAAGAGGCAGTCTACTTTTTCCTTATTATCCTTTAGTGTTTGACCACTATTTTTTTTTTTGGCTTCTGTTGTTAATATAAGCCAAAAATGGAAGGTAAAAGGTAACTGAAGGGATAATGCACCAAACTGGACTGTAAGAATTGTGTCAAGGATAATGAAAAGATGGTAATTCTGTGAGATTAATAGCAATCACCCATAAATCAGTACTGTGGAAGTAACAGGGTTATTAAGCAATTCATGTTCTGATTTAAGTGATAAGTGTATTTTTCTTTCTTAAGTAATTTTGCATGAATAGAAGCAATTCCTTCTCCTTTATTATACCTTCCCCTAAATCTTTTCTAGCACCCTTTTGGAAGTTGTTCTCTTACACAAAGACTGCAAAACTAGTCCACGTTATCACAAACAACTGAGCTTCCCTGTTTTCATGTCGCCTGCAGCAATGAAAATAATAGGATCTATTTGCTTAATAAAACAAATGGGATGTTAACAATAATGTTTGCTAATGCTCCCCATTTTCAAGTCTACAGATTACTTTTACTGGATTGTTCTGCAACAGTGTTTACTTTCAGAAGTGGCTTTATGTTCAGTTCATGTACTTAAAATCTGGCTAGAGAGCTATTTGGATACAGAACATCCTTTTATAAGCAAAACTCAAATTGCTTGTTCAGATTCAAGAGTTATTAATATGATCCATTTCATCATTGTTCTCTAACTTGGTTTTCAGGTACAGAACATTTATTGTAAATTGCCATTTTATGTTGAAGCCTTGGAGAATAGTTACTTTGGGGAGCGAGGCATTCTTTGCACAAAGAAATGAGCTCTAATGAGCTACTGTTGTTTGTTTTTCTATAATATAATTGATTGGGTTTAGTAAATAATGTAGCATCTGTTGTTATGCTATGTGGGGAAATGTCAAAACAGAAAGATAGTAAGCAGGTGGTTGAGAATGGAGAGAGAGAGAGAGAAAATTAAAATAGAATCTATTTAAAATATAATCTCATAGTAGATGAGCAAAAATGAACTGAAGTTCTATGTATAAATATTTATACTGAGATATAATTTACTTAGAGGTTCATGTGTAAGAAGTAGACCATTTAAAAGGCCTCATAATCTTTTTCCTGCCCATTCCTTGCTCTTTAATGTAATCATCTTCCATCAGTTTATGTTACAAAATGACCTTATGGAGATTTTCAAGGCCACAAATAGTAACTGTGTACCTTGAGATTTCCTTGAGAATGTAGGTAAATGAGTGCCTTACTGCCTCTTCGTTTTGAAAAATCATCTTTTCAGTGTATTCCTGGTGAGGAATCCTGCTTCTTATTGCAGCCATTGAGACGCTCATTGGCTGCATAAAATTAGGGGTACAGCAACAAGACTGCTTTTTAAGTAAGATCTAATTGTTTAAAAATACTGCATGTTCTCAGAGCCCTCAGATGTCTGTCCATGAGCACTGACAACACTCAAGCACCCTTCAAAACTAAGCAGAAGTAGTAGAGCAATGTAACATTAGGCATCTTTTTCTAAAAAAAAAAAAAAATCTGACCAATGAGTTAGTGTTATAGAAGCTCCTAGAGGCAGAGAGCAGGGAATACAGACTTGGCTCCTGCCCTTAAATTTTAAGATAAGCAATATAGACAAATTTGGCAGTAAGACAAGCATAGAAACTTTTGATCCATAGTTAGAGATCTCTCCTAGCATATGTGGCCTAGTCATTGAGATATTGGCTGACTTCATGCAGGTTGTTGCAGAAAAAAATGCACGCCTGTGCTTAAAATCTTCTTCCTTCAAACAACAGTAATGCCTTTCTCTAAAACATAAAGCTCCCATTTCTGACTTCCCAGCTTTCCTTCTTTTACTGTTCCTACTTTTATACATATGCTATATCTCACATAACTTCATGATACTTTTAATTATGAAATGTCTTAATAGCAGTGTTTTAGTTTACCTGTAGTAAAGCTCGCGAATATATTTGGTTTTACTCTGTTTTTAAGGGTCTTTGCTGCAAATGGTCAATTACCCTGTGTAAGAGGAGGGCAATTTGATAATAAGTGCATTTGAAGAAATACTTTTACTGGCTTTAATTTATACCTTTTAAGGAAGCAATTGGCCACCTGACAATTATTCTCTCATTCAATTTTTTTCCAAGGCTTTCTGCCAAATGATTAAATTACTTATCTCCATTGTGCATTAACTGTAGACCTAATAATATGTGTTATACAGAAGGATTTATTTTAATTAGTTGTCTGGTGGGCGGCTAGTAAGGAATGAATAAAAATTATTCCATCACTGAGTTATAAAGCGCAGCTCTGGAGCGCTCTGACGCGTCTGGGAAGTTCTAGAAAAAAAATAAACACAAAAGCTCTCTATGCTTTTCCTCTGTGGCTAGCACTGAAAGCTAAATGGTGCTTTCTCCCTGCTCAGGCTATCAGGCTGTCTCTTGAGCAGTCCCTGCCTCCGGAGCCCAAGGAGGAGAGCACCGAGTCGGTGAGCAAGCTGCGCATCCGGACGCCCAGCGGAGAGTTCTTTGAGCGACGCTTCCTGGCCAGCAGCAAGCTGCAGGTTGTCTTTGATTTTGTAGCTTCCAAGGGATATCCTTGGGAGGAGTACAAGCTGCTGGGTACCTTCCCTAGGAGAGATGTGAGTAAAAGTACCTTTCATAAGTAAATATTGCAGCTGCTTAATTGTATCTGTTTGGATGAGCAGAATGTTTGAGGATGGAAGATAAAGATGGGCTGGAGTATGTTAGAGTGGTGTTTAGCTCTGTGCTTGTGAGCAAGGGAGACACTAACCTGCGGCCACTGTCATGTGCTGCATCCAAAATGCTGCTGCAAAGTCTGTTTCCAGCCTTTAGAAAGGCCCCTCAGCTCTGAAACAAGCAGGCTGCATATCGTGTTGAGAACTGTCCTCAGCTGCTGTTGCTGAGCCAGTGTTGCTCAGTTCCTGTTGTGAAGGAAACAGAATCCGTATTAGTAGGCTGTTTTGGTCTGCTGGGGATTAGTATTTCTGATCTTTCTGGTTTTGCCTTTTGATGCACTTTTACAAGCAGGAAGGCACAGTGTCAAACAGTAAAAGGTCATGAGCTAGTTAGTACATTCTAGTGAATTATTCATCACATCATACTAGTAAATAACCGTATATAACTCCTACCTAGATATTCTAATGAAACCTCTTGCACCTGTTTTTAAAAATCAGCCCTGCTCACTGCATACAAAAGCAAACTGGATTCCGTAGGTTTCCTGGCAGGTAGTGCTGTTACTGGGGTTCTTTGAAGCTGTGCTTGTGTCCCGCCTGCTTGATTGCCACCTGACCTTCAGTTCTTGTGCTGGCAGCGTTAATGCAGAGGCACAGAGCTCCGCAGCGGTTCGGGGGTGCCCTGCACACAGGGTGCAGGCAGCAGGCCCTGCAGGGCTTGCAGCACGGAGCCAGCCTGGGACGGCCGAGCTCGGCAGCCCTGGCGCCGCGTTGCTTTCAGCCCTGCATCACCCGGGGTTTAGTTTGCTGGGGAGATGTCCAGGTGGTTGGTTAAGCCAACACTGGCCCCTTTCTGTCAAAAGAACTCCATAAGCGCGTTGCTCTTCCATTTTCTTTCATTGCCTCTGGAGGAGGTTCACTAGGAATAAGACTGCTTGGCATGTTTGCAGTCCTGTTTTGTAACAGGACTTTTTTGTTTTTTTGTTGCTTTAACCTCTTATTTGTAAGTTATCTTAAATGTGAGAAGTACCTCAAAAGGGGAGGAAAATAATGTCCTTACCAGGCATATGACCTTGAGAGCACATGTGTTTTCTTAAGATTTTTGGCATGACTGTGTGAAAAGTGCTTTTAACTTTTCTTCCACCTTGTCCTATATAGAGAATCCCCATCAACCAGAGTGTAAAAAGGCATTTAAGGAATCTCATTCATAATTAACTTTACCGCATAGGCATGTAATACCATTTCCAGTAGAAAAGTCATGAAAACTGTGTGTTTCTAGTGTTGCTGATCTTTCAGTTCACTTGAAACAGAAGAAAAACAGTATTTTGCTTCTAAACAATTTTGTGTGTGTGTGCATACTTAAATATTCAGAAAGTTGTGTCAACCCTTCCATTCAGATTTTATCTATGCCTTCCCATATAGGTAATGTAAAAAACTATAACTCATTGAATCATAGATTCATTAAGGTTGGAAGGGACCTCTAGAGATCATCTAGTCCAACCCCCTGCACACGCAGGGTCACCTAGAGCACGTGGCACAGGGCTGCATCCAAGTGGGTTTTGAATATATACTATAAATATATAACTGTAGTTCTTTATCTTTCTTTTGCACTTCAAAGCCTTGCTTTTTAGAGTGGCTGTCTGCATAATCACACCATCGACATCATTATTAGTTTTTATCATCTATAAACTCTCAAACTGATCAGATGCTTTGAATGAGAACAAATAAAAAAGGAGGGGAAGGAAAGCAGACCGCTGAATTTGAGTGGGTTAGAATTTCGGTACATTTGTGAGGCTGCAGGGGAAAAAGTGTTGAGGCAAAGAAAGAATTACACGGGGGGATATAAAGCTGTTTGTCTGTCACATCAGAGGCAAGATCCTGCAATCTGTCTTCTGCGATTTGGAGCTAATAGTGCCCAGTCTGAGGAGTCACATAAATGATTCGTGTTGATTGACCCGGTGGCCATGTATGAATCTGGTTGCCAGTGTGGCCACCGGAGCTAAAACAGACCAAAAATAACGCCCAGGGACTTGCCTGCTGCTGAAAACTGTAGCTTCTATCTGCCATGTTCCGTAGATATGGGAAGCTGGGAGGTAATAAAAATGATGAAGTATTGATGAATGAGTTGGAAGCATGGTAAAAGCACAGATCCATGACTTTAGCTTTCGTGAGAGTTCCGCCTCTTAAAAACCCTGCAAATTGCCAAACCTCTTCTGCTCTATGATTTGTGTCATAAGCATCCCCTGAAACTGTGAAACACAAACGGAGCCCTTGCAATGCTTGTGCTCCAGATAAGGACAGCGTTTTAAAATGCCCTTTTGTACTTAAAAATATATATTTAACGTTTTTGAAAACTGTGTTTTGAAAGTGCTTGTTGCAGTAGGATGAAAGCATGTCAACTCAGGTTTAGTCATTTTATTTTCTATCCTGATCAGTATTACAAGAACAGACAGAGCCCTAAAAGTGTTTCAGCCTTTACCAAAATGGGGGGGGGCTTAGATATAATCAAATCAGCATTTTTCTTGTGGTAAACATACCAGGGAAATTTTTAAGTGCTTTTCACAACTCACTTGTCAAAACCATCAGTGCTGATGCCCTGATACAGTGTTTTTTAAGTATTTTTACTTCTTTGGTAAATAAAAATTCATTAGTTCTTAGTTCTTAGGTTCCAATTGCTTACACAGATATCCTTAGCTAACTTAAAGTTGGTATCATAACCCTACTGTAAATACAAACTTCTACACATGAGTAAATACACAGATTAACCTTTTCTAGACACTTCTTGTAGTTTTTAAAGCAGCAGTGACATTCCAGAGCATTTAAGCACATGCAGTGACTTGTTATTGGGTTTTTGTCTCTGACTGTGATGTTCTTGCTACTACCACTGAAAATAGACATTAACCACTTTCTTTCTCAGTACCATAAGCAGAACTACATACCACACTAACGAGGGTATTTCACACTAGCCAACCTGTAACTCTGATTTTGAAAACATGTTTAGCAAGCACATCTTTCTCATAAAAAGCTATATTTTTGTTCACTGCCCCTGCAAAGGATTGATGGAAATAAATATATGTGCTATTTAAATATATGTAAAGGAACTATAGTTCTTTTTCTTTCCAAGAATCACAATAATCTTAAAAGTTATTTTTAACAAAAACAACAAAAAGCTTACCCTAAGTATGTTAGCATGCTCATTCAGTATTTACTCGCCCTTTTTCTGAGTCCCTTTCTCCTACCAGCCTTTCCAAGCAGTAATTTCAGGACCTGTCAGGCTGCCAGCAGCAGAACATGCCTTTTCCCAGCACCCTGCAGACCTCCTGATGGCAAATTCCTTGCTTGCTCAATGAAGAGCTGCAGAAGTCTTCCTAAAACTCTTCACCATCTTTTGGGCTGGGCATTTGAACACACTTTAGAAAGCAACATGATACCCAGTTGAAACCATATGGGCAAATTTTTCCACAACTTGGGGTTTGGCTCCTGGGATTAATGGTGTATTTGTGAGGGTTGTATGGTGTCTGCGAGAAGGTGAGGTCCTGGCACACTCTCGTATGCAAGACGATAGTATTGAGAGAGCTTTTTATTTTCTGAATTCTTTCTGAAAAATCAGAACTTCAACCTTCCATTTATTTCTTCTTGAAGGTGGAGTATAAGCTATGTATTTGCGAGCATGTCTTTTGCAGACACTATACTAGAGACTTAAGCTCTTTATTTACTGTATCTGGAAGCCTTAGTAAGCCAGGACTTCTACACTATTTCACATTTTATTTTTCTGAGCCACAGCTTAGGATCAGGTGGCAGTTAAGTCACTTAAGGTTATTTAAATGCATCTAAAATGTTGCTTAATAATTCAGAACCAGTTTGCTCTGTTTAGAGTATTAAGATTTTTAAAACCCTTTTAATTAACCAATTCCAACAGCAGTTTAAATAAACAGAAACAAAAATCTGTCTCCCTTGAAGGGGCAGAAAATAAATTCAACTCAAATTGCATGTCAATTTAAATTAGGTGTGATCAGGATTTCAGCAGATGTAGGGTCAGATCATTCTTAATATTACATGGGAGTAGGGAGTAAGATAACCCTCTGAAAGCGAATGTGAGCGCTCATTCCTGTGCTTGGCAGCAGTAATCCTCTTTGCTCACGGTGCTGAAAACAACACCCCAGAATAATAAACCCGTCGCTGCAGCGCTCAGCACAGGCACCTCAACATGTAAGTGTATCCGCCTGGAGATACTGCAGTGGTCACGATCCCTGCACTGCTATGCCAGGGAGTTTGGAAAATTTGTGAAACTCAATTCTACAAAGCCTTTTTAAGAGTTATTCTGCCCTCCCCTCCAGTGCGCACTAATTCCTTCAGATAATCTAGTTTTAAACTCATTAGATAGTGTTTAAACTCATTAAAGAGTACATGAAAGAAATATGCGTTTAGGAGCATCTCTAGCTTTTTTTCCCTAATTATCATCTTGATAAAAAGATGGGAAAAAATGTTATGATGAGAAAGGATTCATGCAGTATCATGGTTATGCCCAGTAACACTTCTAGTAATGAGTCATTCAAATAATCTGTGAAGTAGCTTTCAGTGGCAGGTCAAGGAAATAAAGAATGCACGTCCAATGACAAAGCAGGATTTCAGCAGAATACAATATTTTTCTGATATTTTCAGAAACTTTAAGAATGTTTTTGTAAAATCAGATAAAATTGGACGTGTGATCCATGCCCTCTTTACAGTAATTCTAATTACCCATATTTTTATTTCTTACTGCATAAAATAGTACAGATCTGTTTAAGTCCACATAACTTAGAATTTTTCAGGGCAACATATCTGATGGTGGCACCTATTTAACATCTGTGATCTAGTTTATGAAGGGCCACAGCCATCTTCAAAGGTAGAAGTCCCTTCTCTTGTCAGTTGAAACTGTCATTAAGTCAATACTACCTGCCCTTATC